GGAGTCTGTAGGTAGGAGGATGGTGGTCTGAGTCTGGCAGCTCTTGGTAAAAATGAGCGACTCTGCTTGAAAAATAATTAAAGCTGCCAGCTTGGGGACGAGGAGACTGTGCATCTCTTCACAGTCTGCCTGACTACATGCTCCTCTCTTTGGTGACTGCAGCTAGTGCTCATCTCCTGCCAGGCCCAATCAGAAATCAGTCCTCCTGCCCGCACGCAGGCTGCCTGGATGGAACCTCAGTTCCCATACTTCCCTGGAAAGATGGAAATAGTTTCTTTCAAAACAACTGAAATTAAGTCTTTCTCTGTGCAGGTCTGTGCTGAGTTTGTCCAGATTCCCTGGAGATAGCCATTCCTTGCAGTCTGTGTTTTTCACTTCTGGGTTTATGAAAACTCTGAAGGCAGAGGTTGCTATTTTGCTACCTCTTGTGTTTCCTGTCACCTTCCTGTGTTGGGTACAGAGCAGACTTCACCTGTGTATCACCGTGTGTGTGTGTGTGTGTGTGTGTGTGTGTGTGTGTGTATGTGTGTGTGTGTGTGTGTGCGTGTGTGTGTGCCATGCCCACTGCCTTTGTTATTAGCCACTTATAATTCCACTGATAAAACCCCGGGCTGCAATTCCATGCCGGGTCCATGGCTGGCGGCGCCCACACCACGTAGATTCTACACAGGACTAACCTCATGAAACCACCACCTTCGCTATTTACACATCCATAGAGTAAACTCTACAATCACATTCCATCCACTTCTTCATTGCAGCATTTATTGCTAAACAATGTCATCTGCTTTTCTAAATTATTACAAATAGTATCTGATCTATTGTAAACACACAGGCAATAAAGGTAGAAGTTAATGTGATCAGTACAGACTTAACACTCCACTGAAACTTTAATTAGCCAAAAATAAAGGGTATTCTTCCATTACAGCCAGCTCCTGCCCTTGCTGATTTCTTATCATGAAGGAAATTTCTTATCATGAAGGAAATATCAATCTAATGGAATGCATATTAGGTTTGTGTCATTTTAAGGAGATATTATATAAATATTATAGAAAACCTGTAACAACTATGAAAAATATTCCAGTCAGTCAAACTAAAAGTATATAATTTTTCAAAATAAGTATCTAATATCCAGTTGAATGTGTAATATTTTCATGACATATCTGAACATACCACTAGGCACTTACTATTTAGAAAGGAAGATAAAGTTCTCCAACACATAAAAAATCATTATGAGTTCAGAGGTAAAGAACGCATTTTCAGAGCAGTAGAAATAATTTAAGATGGTTTCTGCTTGCCCTGAATATCTATTTTTCAATCTTACAGAAAGAACAGTAGAAGTGCAGTGCTGTTAATATTTTCCCTTACGTGTTGATACCATTATGCTTTCTGTGTCTGGCTTTGGTGCTTGAGTTTCATTCTCGGGGCTCTGCTCCTACAGCTAAAACGCTGTAAAGTTTACACATAATACATTTCCTGGGGAAAATGCTGAGTTGAGATATAGAGTGTATCTGAATTCGGCTATTTCAAAGATGCCAAGATGCACAAACAAAGTTGAAAGAATGCACAATATTTATAAATTATTAACCGTTTCTAAATGCACTTCCCACGTGAGTCCCCGCCGAGGTGTGAGATCGCTCCTCGCTAGCTCCAGAGAACAGCCCCGGCTAAAGTTGCAGCATTAACATTACCTCTCGCCGGGAGAGGACTGGAGAGGACCGCATGAGCAGTGACCCAGCAAGGTCAGGGATCCGATTTCCTTCTGCAAGGAGTCGGGTGGGCGTGGCCGTGGCCGTGCTGGGCTGGGCGGCGCTGCCCTCAGTGGGGTCACGGGCCTGGCGGTGCTGGGCGGCGCTGCCCTCCGTGTCTTGCCCAGCCTGGCTTTGGGGCTCAGTGGCTAGCATTCACATTCTTAAAGAGCCATGAATCTGTTGCTGTTACAGTCTATTTTAGTCAAAATCAAGCTAGATGTATAGGGAATGAGTGAATCTACATTAGAGCTCTGTCATTCCGAGGATTTCTGGTGTTTTTCCTACCCTCATGCAGCTGTAGAATGATCAGATCATCATGTGAGAAGCTTGTGGAAAGGTTGAAGTACAGAATCCAGTTGTGATATTCTGTCCACATTACCCATCTTTTCAGGACTTCTAGTCCCTTGTGACCATAAATAGAATTCTGAAGTTGGATTGGTATCAGAAAATTCAAGAGTATTTAAAATATTGAAAGAGAGGAAGTGCTCTTAAATGTACCTTTTATTATACTGACATATTATTTTCTTTAATTCATAAATATTGCCACAAGGAAATCCTACTTCTCTATGTCCTAATCTTGTTTCATTAATATTATTTACATTCAGTGGTAATGTCTTACCTATGATCTGACCTTTTCAGTAATGAGAAGCAATGCTGTTATCCCCAAGACTGCTAGTGGTAGCAATGGCGTTTTGACTTAGTAGGCGATGATTTTATTAAATAATCTAACAGCAATGGCCCTGGGTCATTGGATCAGGAAATATTTAATGAAGGCATTCATATTTACTCCCCCGTCTCGGAGCCAGCATTTCCTGCGTGGGGCACTAGGTTAATTGAGTTTCATCACAGAATCTCAGGCCACTTTAGAAATCACTGCATGGCACATTCCCTGAGGTCTCATCTCTGTAGAACGAGAAAATAGAAGAAGAAGCGAGGAATGTGGAAGGGATTCCGCTGACATTGTCAGTGTCGGTGTTTATTAAAGGTGCGCCAACTTTCTCTGAAAGGAAAGTAGCGTTCCTCTCCCTTCCAGGTGCGCATGGAGGGGTGTGGAGCAGGTCTTGCCGTAGCCAGTGCAATCCCATCAGTACAGACAGATGTGGACTGTTCTTTAATCCACAGCTTCCGTTAGTGGCTAAGTGTTTTTGCCTAATTTACTTGTGGAAATATACCCACTAGCAAACTCTACGTGCCCCGTGGTCCACTCTTGCAGCTCCTCAGGAGAAGTTGAGCTTTGGGATTTGGTGCTCAGGCTCCCATTTTGTGGCCCAATCGCAGACTTTACCGCAGTTCCTAAGGCATGAGAGGAATCAGGTGAGGAGCCGTTCGGAGAATAAAGTGGTGACCGCTAGAGAAGAAGGACTAGACCAAGGGAAACAGGACGTGTGAGATTTGAAGGAAAGGGAGGTCTTAGACAGGCAAACGTTTCCGAGTCCCTTAGCTTTGCACTTCTCCCAGACTCCCCCACATCCTGGCCAGGAACTTAGACAGCTCTGACGACCTGCGTCTGTGCGTGATGGCCATGGCCTGATGAACCCAACCCAGCGCTGACTCTCAGTAATGCTCCCCACGGGGAAACGCGTCCAATTCACCACAGAGCCTGGGGATGGAGTGGAGCCACAAAAGGGGAGCGAAGGGCTATCTTTTCAGTCATGTTGACTAGCAGGTGAGACGTGGAGTAGATGTGCTGGTGTCTGACGGTTCCTGGCTGCGGGGGGGGGGGGGGGGGGGGGGAGGCGGCTCCAGCTTGCCGGGGGTGCAGCAGAGCGCTGCTCCCGCTCGTCCGCCCCATCCACCACTCCTCTCCAGGAAGGGCGAGCTCACCATAGCGTCTGTGTAGCTAGGAGAGAACAGACAGAAGGAATTTTCTGGAGACGTGTCTGTGAGCATCTGGGTGGGCTCACAGCCAATGACACCGAGGCTTGTCCCCCTGAGTGCAGGCTGCAAACCACCTGTGGACCTTGGATGTGGGGCGACCCTGGCTTCTAAAACTGCATTACAGTTTTCTAGGCTTTTTTTTTTTTTACTGATTATTCTTACATAGCTTTAAGGACAATAAGCCATAGTTCCCTACTTTATGTTTGGTGTGGTGCGACTTTGTCCTCGTTATAAATGATGGGAGCACACAGTTCAAATGCTAAGCGTGAGACTGCAGACAAGAGAAAGGTTCAGAAGCTACAGAGTGCCCTAAAGGAAAATTAGTTCTCTTTCCATTATATTATCCTCCAGGGGACGGAGTGTACATTTGCTTCCACGCCTGAAGGGAGAGTTTATGTCCCCACCACCTGTCCCCAAACAGCCTGCCCAGGAAAAGTCAGCTGCTTCCAGGGGATTGGCCCTCGCATCTGAACAGCCCAGCCGCACACGCCATGTCTGCTGGAACTGGCCCTTGAGTTTCAGAGAAATCGTATTTATAATTCCACAGAACAGAGCAGGTGCGACGTCACGTGACCCCTTCATGCCCAGTGTGCGCTCTCCGCTCCCACATTAGCGATGAGGCAGCACGGCATTGTAAGCGATTTTTTATTATGAGAGAGTTTACTAACAAAGACAAGATTTTTGTAGTCTGTTAGCAGGCATTAATTCAAATGTTCCCAAGTGCTGTGGAAACTTTGTAGGAATGAGTTCCTGTTTTTGTGAAAATGGATCTGTGTCCCATGCTCCTCTCCTGTGGACACAGGGCAGAGGCGGTGGGCGTCAGTTTAGACCCTGCAGTGTTTTCTATGTTTTCAAATGTCTCAGAAAGCAAACTAACACATGGACAGGAAATTTCTTAGGAATTACTAAGATTGGGAGTTGTGTAAGTTTCCATACTTGATCATGTGAGCTACGTAGATCATAGCAGAGCACATAGACCAAACTCCATGAGTTCCTTTAGACTGCCAAGCTCATGGGATGCAGGAGCTGTAGGTCTTTAGACACATTTCCATCCAAATAATACACGGCAGCTGACAAGGACTCCATCTGTATTGACATTTTCTCAGGCAATGATAAAAATGCACTGAGTTAATGTGTCAAATGGATACTGTACTTATAAGACAGATTCAAACGTTGATTCCCAAATACTCCTGACAGAGAATCATAGGGCTTGACTATTATTACAGCCAGTAGAATTTTAATAAATTATTTACAATATGGAAACATGTTACTTTCCCACTGTGATTGTAGTGTGAACCAAATTGCAACTCCCACAGTTCCTTGAAAAAAAACTAAGCCTTCAGAGATCATTGGTTTATGATTTTCCTTCTACAGAGTATGCCAAAGCTCTTCCTGGCCCTCCTACACCTTATGCTGCTTTATTAAGAATTAAGAAGAGTTCGTCCTCACCGCTCTTTGGTGCAAAGCCCAGACCACGATACAGCAGCCCTGCACTGGGAACACCTGGCTGGCCAGGGTCTCCCCAACCTCGATACTCCCCCATCAGTCTCTACCACTCCTCAGATGCCTTCAAACCAGACGGTAAGCGACAGGAACTTGCAGGGACGGAGTGAAACAGGAAGTAAGTCTTGTCCAGACCCACCGCAATCGGGGGTCAGGTAGTATGACCTGAGGGGGAAGAGGAGGAGCTTGTGATTAGGCCGCCCGTGTTTATTAACTGGTAAATATGTACAATAGATGCCTGTATCACCCAGGCCGGGAGGTGGGAACTTGTGTTTCCTGATTCCATGTCAAATGAGTCAGTACTCATGTGACAGAAATTGCTGGTTTGTAAAAATGGCAGCAGACCGGGACAGCTGCCATCCACACGGCTTACCGCTCTCGTGCCCTGTGAGTGGTCCCGCTTGGGTCTTCACCTGCTCGAAGGCCAGCACACTGGGCTGCCTTGCAGTTCTGAGGATGGGGTGGACACTCAAAGATACCTCGGTTCAAGGAATTAAACTGCTTGGAAAGTTTGTAATGTTAAAGATTCAAATGTCAGTGTAGGAGGTATATAGATTTTTCAGCCTTTTCCTTTTTCAAGGTGTTTGACATAAATTTAAACTTTCTGATTACATTGAATCTGTGTTTATCCATCTGGGAAGAAATGTATCTGTCATTTTGTGTCTAGGCGTCGTCCTGTTGACTTTGTCCTTTGTGTCTGCACGTGCATATTGTGTCTGGATTCACATTTAATGGAAGTCATTTGTGAGATGATGTGGAAGAGTCGATGTCTAGAACTCTGAGTGACTCATATCATTTTTCACTACCAACTAGCAATCTTCTCATTTGTTTTCTTATTCCCAATGGGATACAGTGCACCTCACAATGGTAGAAGAAATAGAGCTAAGAATTGTGAGTTAAACCTATGAAAACGGCATTGGGAGGTACGATGAGCCAGGCGTGTGGTAAACACACTGTCAGTGCTCACACTGGTTGTGATGCCTGGGAACCATCAGTGGTCTATTTCACAGAGCCTGGACCTTAAAACGGAGCAGTAATCCATTAAACTGACAACTATTGAGCCATTTTGTTCTCTGGAGAGGCCTCAATCTGAGGTTATTTTCTTTGGGGACCAATAACCTGAATATTATTTTTACTACAAAAACAATGAGTTTCATCTCAAATAGTACCTACAAAAAGAAGTCATTTTGTGGGAGCTGGGAAGGTAGCTCAGTAGTAGAGTGCTCGCCTAGCATGCATGAAGCCCTGGGTTCCATACCTCAGTACCACATACACAGAAAATGCTGGAAGTGGCAGTGTGGCTCAAGTGATAGAATGCTAGCCTTGAGCAGCAACAACTCAGGAACAGTGCCCAAGCCCTGAGTTCAAGCCCCAGGACTGGCAAAAAAGAGGTCATTTTTCTGTATCTGCACTGTGATCTGACATGTGTGGATCAACATGAGAATCATGGTGGACAACCCTCTCAAAGACCGGGGAGTGGAACTGGATCCCACTTATGGACAGTCTCTGGTCTAGACCGTGCTTTGATTGCCAGACTCTTGTCTGCAAACAACTAAATAGAAGTTAAGCTCTCTGCTGATAAGTTTAAACTATATTTTAGATTCTCTGGAACAAGAGATCATTTGTTGTCCAAATAATCTTCCCCGTTGTTTCTGTACCCAAGCATTCGGTAACTCTTAGCCAGGTGTGACTTCGAAAGCTTTCTCTGTCAAGAGTCTGACATATGGCTTTTGTCAGGCAATTCCCTTTAGCTTTGATAGAGAGCAAACCTGAAGCTGACAAGCTCTTGTGAAAAATGAGAAAACTAATAGAGCATGAGCAGAAAGTCATCCTTCTCCCGCTCAGAGTTAAGTCACAAAGCGCCACAGGAAGAAGTGCCACAGGAAGAGGTGCCACAGGAAATGACACAGGAAGGACCACAGGAAGAAGCACCACAGGAAGTGCCACAGGAAGTGCCTCAGGAAGTGCCACAGGGAGAGGTGTCACAGGAAATGACATAGGAAGTACCACAGGAAGAAGGACCACAGGAAGTGCCACAGGAAGAGGCGCCACAGGAAATGAAACAGGAAGGACCACAGGAAGAAGCACCACAGGAAGTGCCACAGGAAGTGCTTCAGGAAGTGCCACAGGAAGTGCCTCAGGAAGTGCCACAGGAAGAGGTGCCACAGGACATGACAGGAAGTACCACAGGAAGGACCACAGGAAGTGCCTCAGGAAGTGCCACAGGAAGTGCCACAGGAAGAGGTGCCACAGGAAATGACACAGGAAGTACCACAGGAAGAAGCACCACAGGAAGTGCCACAGGAAGAGGTCACAGGAAATGACATAGGAAGTACCACAGGAAGAAGGACCACAGGAAGTGCCTCAGGAAGTGCCTCAGGAAGAGGTACCACAGGAAGTGCCACAGGAAGTACCACAGGAAGTGCCTCAGGAAGTGCCCCAGGAAGTGCCTCAGGAAGAGGTACCACAGGAAGTGCCTCAGGAAGAGGTACCACAGGAAGTACCACAGGAAGTGCCTCAGGAAGTGCCACAGGAAATACCACAGGAAGTCCTCAGGAAGTGCCACAGGAAGTACCACAGGAAGTACCACAGGAAGAAGGACTACAGGAAGTGCCTCAGGAAGTACCACAGGAAGTCCTCAGGAAGTGCCACAGGAAGTGCCACAGGAAGTGCCTCAGGAAGTGCCACAGGTAGAGCAAGGGTTTGTCTGAGAAATGCGAGCGAGTTTTCAGAGCAATCTGGAGAAGCCATCTACTTCTGGTTTTGAATCTTGGCGACAGTCCCAACTTGTATACAGTGAGAAGATAGGTTCCCACAGCTCACTGCAGAGTATCCTTAGAAGCAAAAACTGGGAGACACTCATCAGTCCATCGGAAGAGGCATACATGAAGAGCGTCCTCTCAGCTGTAGAAGAGTTTAGTCACTGATGAAGCAGGATGTGCCTACTCAGAGCCTTGTGCATAGAGTGTGTCATTTACATAAAGTGACTAATAACACATAGTGCGGCCTCTGCAACAGGGAGAACAAGGCTGAGGAAAGTGGTAGAAGAACACAGAGGACCTCAGCCTGGTGAGCGTTCCTTGGGGAGAAGCTGGGCAGACAGCTGGGGCCTGCGTGGGTCGGAGCCCGCGTCGGCCCAGGAGAGCCGCAGGGACCGCACTTCTGCAGAGTGGATGCCAGGATGCGGTGGAACGGGGCTTCTAACCGTGGCCACCCTGTTCCCAGCCTGCTGATCTCTGGCTGGCTGCTACTGATCACAGTCCATCCTGCTACGAGCACAGCTCATGAATAACCAGAAGTTCAGCCCTCCATGTCTCCCTGCACGAAGACTGGACTGTGACCCACTCGCCATGCATGCTCACTTGGTAGATATGTAGGCCACGCCATGTCTGTTAGATCCTGAAGCTAGGCCCCCATCCACGCTCTGTTTCTGTCATCAGATATTTCTGTAGCCCCTATTCTAGGGTTGCTCAGTGTATATACTAGATTCTCTATTAGTACTGGATATGTGGTTAGGAAATGTTTGCTTTTAGTATTATCTTCCTTAGGTCTGCTGTAGAATATGAAACATAAAGGCAATGGTTTTATAGGTGGGTATGTATATATAGATAGATAGCTAGATAGAGATAGAGATATAGTAGTGCATAAATAGTCCAGATGTTTGTCCTCTATTATTTAAGTTCCTACCACTTACTGAAACATGTAATTTGTTAGCTGTTCCTGCTTTTGGAAGTTTGCCTACTTACAATGAAGAGAGAGCCAGGTTCTTTGATATTAATCAAGGGGCTGGACCAGGCTTGCTATTTTGATGAGTCTTGAGGCCTTACCTTTGTGCTTCCCACAGAAAGCGTGGACTACGGGCCAGTGTTCGTGCAGGAGCCAGATGATATCATTTTCCCAACTGATTCTGAAGAAAAGAAGGTAGCCCTGAGTTGTGAAGCTCATGGAGACCCGGTCCCCAGCTACAGGTACACTGACTCCCTGCCAACCAGCACTCTTAACAGTCCCCAGCTGCAAATAGACTGACTCCTGCCAACCAGCGCTTTTAACTATTCCCAGCTATAGGTAGACTAACTCCCTGCCAACCGGTGCTCTTAACCAGTCCCCAGTGATAGGTAGACTGACTCTCTGCCTGCAGGCTCTCTTAACTGGTCCCCAGCTGCAGGACGACTGACTCCCTGCCAACCAGCGCTCTTCACAGTCCCCGCTGCAGGTAGACTGACTCCCTGCCAACCAGCGCTCTTCACAGTCCCCGCTGCAGGTAGACTGACTCCCTGCCAACCAGCGCTCTTCATAGTCCCCGCTGCAGGTAGACTGGCACTCTTAGCCGCTCTCCCTCGAGTGCTGGGGTGTCTCAGCAGTTCTCACCCTGGGGTCTTGCGTGTTTCTCAGATGGCTCCGGAATGGAACAGAGGTGGACTGGGAAGGTGACTTCCGCTACCGGCTGCTGGACGGCACCCTGGTCATAAGCAGCCCCAGCGAGGTGAAGGATGCCGGCCACTACCAGTGTGTCGCCTCCAACACCTTTGGAAGCGTGCTCAGTAGAGAAGCGACTCTGCAGTTTGCCTGTGAGTAAACACACCCTCCCCATACATTACATACACACTTTAAGTAAGTAAAAATTTACAATTGTCCCGACACCATGGTCAGCATTAAAAGTATGCAGAAATGCTTTTCTCCTTGAGATAGTTTGAATTTTCTTGACATATGTGTTGTCTCCAAAATGAACCTGACATACTAGTATGGGAGGTTTAAAAAAATCCTGTTCATTAAAGCAGATAAAATTTTAGAACAGCTACTTATCTGCTTTTTATTCTCCTGCTGTCGGTTGCCTTAACTGTTTCCTGTAGCTCACTCGCAGCATAAAATAGTATTTCCTAGAAACTCCGTAGGCAACCCCGGTGATGGTTCTTGTATTTCAGATTTTTAGTATAGTTGCCCGATAGCCTGACTTTTGTATTAAAAACCCAGAGACCACAGAGACATGTATCCTGTGCTGCGTTGCTGTGCGTCAGCCAGGTAGATGCGTGACGGCGTTCTCGCAGGGCTCCATTGCCTAGCAGTGCCACCGGCGTGTTTTGTGTGACTTCCCTTTTTTATGATATGTGCCCAGTGACAAAGTCACGTGATGCGTTTCTCAACTCACGTTGTCACAATGCGTGACTGTGTAATGCAATATGTGTTTTCTAAAGAGTCTATATTTGATTAGCTCAATAATTCTCAATAAACTCAATTCTCGGTAAACACGAGCACATGCCAATAGAAGAGACGAGCTACCATGTGAAAACTATCACACTGTTTTACGGTACATAATCCTATTTAAATTTAAACTTTTGAGGATTACAATCTTCAAGAAATTGAAGAGGAGGGCCAGAAATCCTTGTAATAAAATACCAGACTGTATCCGCTAAGTAAGTTATCATTTAATGAGGTTTAAGCTAAAATTATAATCTGAAGAGTGAAACAATTGATTTTTCTTGACATAATCTTCCTCCCATAATTACCCTTGAATCCAGACACCTCATTATAGAAGTGTAAAGAACAAAAGAAATGAATTACGGGTTGATGATGAATCCAGTTTGGATAGCAATGAGCCAGGTTCCAGAAAAATCTGAATGCTGTCTTTTAAAGTAGAATTGCCAAGGTCTTCAGATAGGTACATTTATCGATGTAAAATGTATCAAGATAGTAGCTTGAAAATACTGCTTTTATTTTCAGATACTATGTATGGTGTTTCAGAGAGCCTAACTAACACTTTCCTCATGCATATTAACAAGATAACATACTGAATGGAGCCAATAACTTTTTACTCTTCAGTAGAGGGACCTTCTCAAGACAGACACAGCAAAACCAGAAACCATGCTACACCAATAATAATGATCCATATTATCTGACACACTGTAGTTCTTATTAATAGGCTATATGTATACATTGTTTTTCTTCCTACAGTGTTTTTTTTCTGCATGCTTTACCATAGAGATTTCTTTCTGGAGGACCCTCACGTCCACAGCCGGTGCCTTCCTAGGCTTGGCTCCACGTGTGGACAGCTGTCTAACAGTTATCTACTGCGGGGCACGCACTCCCCACCGGGAAGCCCTGGCAGATGACCTTACCTCATCAGATCAAAGCCATCCTACACCTCAGTGAGAGCTGTGCTTGCTTATTTTCACTTAAATATCGGGGGAGACCTACCTGTGCATCGAGTTTGGCTTCTTCTTAGGACACCTCGGGCTGTAGGTTAGAGATGCAGAACTGTGTGTGCCCGGTCAAAGCACTGGGTCACCTGACGTGACCTTGAAATCTGCCACCTGCCTGGGCATGATTGTGTTTGTTTATGGTATTAAAGATTGAGTCCTTTTGGCTTGATCTGCGTGAACTCGTGTTTTTAGAGGAAGGTGTCGGCGTGGGTGATGCAGAGTGATCCTCCTGAGTGCTGTGGGGCGCCTGCCTGGCACCGAGGACTGGCAGGGAGCAGAGGCTGGGACTCACGGAGCGGCATGAGGGAGGGGGCTGGGCGCAGAGGGGCCCTCCGGGCCTCGCAGCGCCATCCCTGCGTGAAGCCACGAGCCAGGTTGATTATCCTGGAGAAAGCCAGGTCTCCTTAAATGTAACGAGGATGAGTCACGAGTTACACACTCAATTCACTGATCAGTTTTTAAACCTACTTTTCATTCGAGCAGCCCACCGATCTGAATACCCGAAGCTCGCTTGCCCCCCGCCATCCTGACGCACCGTTCAGTGTGTGCCCGTGGGGGGTCTGCCAGGTTCTAAATGGATTTTTATCAAAATGGTTCCAATTAGTTACGACTAATACTGTAGTTTAGCATTCATAAGTACCTCACAAGGGTATAGTAAAAATTAATGAGGAGGAATTATGTTGGCAACCTTGTTTTCTAATACAAAAAGACATAAGTGCACATGAAACTGCATGCTCTTGCTAGTGATGATTGGTTACTGGTTATCAGTAAGATTGCTCTTGACACAATATATTGTATTCCGGAGTGTGTGTGTATCATGAGTGTAACCCCTCCCTTGCCTCGTGACAAGCAAGCATACTGCGGGACGCGCTGTCATCTGCCAGCTCAGGGCCACGCGGCCCAGAGCACTGCGCGCCCCACCTTCAGAAACTCAGAGCTCAGAGCAATTTCTCCAAAGTTGGGAGTTTTAGAAATAATTCATGTCAGCAAGTCAAACATGAAATGAATCAAGAAGAAAATCTCCTCATGCTCATGTCTCTTGCTTTAAAAATATCTTCATAAGCAATCTTTGGTAAATTGATAGTTCATATCTGAATTTGAACATATTGCTTTTCAGGGCATGTAGATGATTTAGATCCAGAATATTCCATTAGTTTTTCTGAAGCAGTTGATTAAAATAACCTCCTAAACTTTTGAGAGATTATGACTCATGGGCTTTGTATTTAAGCCCTTTAATTTAACCTTTCATTTCCATACAAAACTCAGAAATTACTTCTCAGGCTTTCCCCTCACTTTTCCTCCTAAAATAAAATTGACCTTAGACTTTGAAACCACACTTTGCTAGTGTTTAACAGGTAATGAAATTATTTGGATAATTGCTAACTCCACAGCATATCCGAAGCTTTATTTCATTAGTCTATGAGCCTTTGTCCATAATAACTTTATTAACTCATTTGAATATTCATCTGAGTGGAAGGAGTCACACTGCTAAGGATGAGCCCATAAGCTGTAAAGTTACCAGGTTTGCCTGTGAAATAATTGTTTTATCTCTTTCTTACATACATAAACAATCAGGTTTTAAAAAAAATAAAATTGACTACTCACAGGAAGACACAGCTTAAATGTCCATTTAAAAAAAACAGTCACTATGGTCATACTCAATGTGTCATTTATGGTTTTGGTTTAAACAAAGTTTAAACGAAGTGGTTAAAGCCAGGCACTGGTGGCTCACACCTGTAATCCTAGCCACTCAGGAGGCTGAGATCCGGAGGATTGCAGTCTGAAGCCAGTCCATACAGGAAAGTTAATGAAACTCCTATCTCCATTTAACCAACAAAAGCTGGAAGTGGAGCTGTAGCTCCAGTGGTAGTGCACCAGCCATGAGAGAAAAAGACAAGTAAGAACATGAAGCCTTGCATTCTAGCCCAATACTAGCACCAAGTTGTTAAGAGTATATCAAATTTGAAAATGGAACGGCCTCAAATCGGTTACTTTGTGTCAATTCTAGATTTGCCAGCCTATGTTTACTATAAGTACTTTCTGAATTTTCTGAATTGTCCTTAGGGAAGATACACAGCCACTCTTAAGACATTCATAGAAAGTCAAAATAAACAACACAGTTCAGACAGAAAAAAATCTTACCAGAAGTGGCGCTGTGGCTCAAGTGGTAGAGTGCTCGCCTTGAGCTGAAGAGCTGAGGGACAGCGCCCAGGCCCAGAGTTCAAACCCCATGACCGACTAAAATAAATAAATAAAAATTTTAAAAACTACTTAAAAAATATTACCAATTACAAAACCCAGAATTGTAAGGGATCTTTTACCATACTTAATTTGAATATAAATAGGTAAATGAGGGTAATTAATTTTGCTGTATAAATCATTTAACCCTAAATAGATGGGTGTGATATTTCTATATTTAAAATGTATAGCAACAGTTGTGAGAGTATTAATGAATGCAATGAATATAAATACAGATGTTGACATTTGTTATTTTGTATGCCCTTGGTAACAACTTTGTATTGGGATAAGTACCTGAGGATGGCTGAGATGTCACAGAGCAGCACCGAACCCTTGCCCGTCTGGCAGGATGACTTCACTGCGGCTGGACTGAGGAGAGGAGTGCAGTTCTAGAATTCTAGCACTGACCCTCATTGGCGCGGGCCAGTGAATGCCCCTGTCTGTTGCGTGGCCTCCTTGAGTTGCAGGACAGAGGGACGGAGCTGAGCAAACAAGCAGCAGCCTTGCTCTCAGGTTCCTGGAAAAGCGCAAGCAAGAGCTCGCTATCCCAAGATGAGTGCCACAGCCACGCCCATAGCAAGGTCAAGCCAGAGACCCGCCCACGGCACAGCAAGGTCAAGCCAGAGACCTGCCCACGGCACAGCAAGGTCAAGCCAGAGACGCGCCCACGGCACAGCAAGGTCCAGCCAGGATGATGCCCACAGCACAGCAAGGTCAAGCCAGAGACACGCCCACAGCACAGCAAGGTCAAGCCAGAGACCCGCCCACGGCACAGCAAGGTCAAGCCAGGATGATGCCCACAGCACAGCAAGGTCCAGCCAGGATGATGCCCACAGCACAGCAAGGTCCAGCCAGGATGATGCCCACAGCACAGCAAGGTCAAGCCAGAGACCCGCCCACGGCACAGCAAGGTCAAGCCAGGATGATGCCCACAGCACAGCAAGGTCAAGCCAGAGACCTGCCCACAGCACAGCAAGGTCAAGCCAGGATGATGCCCACAGCACAGCAAGGTCCAGCCAGGATGATGCCCACGGCACAGCAAGGTCAAGCCAGAGACCTGCCCACAGCACAGCAAGGTCCAGCCAGAGCATGCCCACAGTGAGGTCAAATGGCACAGCCACATACCCTACTTT